GTACACACTATAACATGTACACACTATAACATGTACACACTATATAGCATGTACACATTGTATACCTATGTAAACCCTGTATACCATTCTCAAAGCACAGACTCTGCACTATTGAGTCAATGAAAGTTATTTATCCATGCCACAAAAGATATTAGGCTGCACTATTGAGACAATGACATTTAACTGTTCTTTTCTACCTTAGTTCCAATCTTTTAGTCAGTTTCGTTCAAAACTGCAAAAGAAACCAGATGAAGAGGTTGGGACTTTAAAAGCAAACACAAAGGTATGATAAATATGCAATGATAACAAAAGATAGAAAGAAGCTTAAAAGAGATTCATCTCAAAAAGCAGCACTACATGTGATGAATGCAGTTGACCACCCATAGTGCAAATTTAAATTAATATTGAATTTARTAATTAGACTTATTTTTGTTAGTTAGTTACTTAAAAAGCCACTATGATCAAATTTCTGACTTGCTTTTTTCTGCCTGAGAAAAAATGAAAGATCTTAAAATTTATCTTACTTCGATCCCCCTAAATCCAATAAATAACTTTTTAAATGGCATTTCTTTTTACTGGGTTGCCTGTGGCAGACAGCCCAATCCTAAAATTATTTTTTTATTGTCATCTCCTTCTTGGGAAAAGTGACTTTTTTGCACAAGAGTACCTATATATGGTTTTGAATGATGTGTTCATAGATTAATGGCTCATAGATTGGCTTAGAAGCTGAGGATGTAATTCCGGGCTTTAGAAGGTCATTGAGCAGTAAAAGAAGATTTCTAGTGACATTGTAATGTTGAAAATGTGTATTTTATTGGTATTAATAAAAATATCACAGTTAAATTTGTTTCAAAAACATATTTCTCTAGAAATTCAAGAAAATTTAGCACAAGTTGTGACGTCATTTTGTTTACAAGTCTCCAGATGTTTGGATGTAGAATCTTATTTTCAGGGASGTCACTATTTAAGGTTTCCCAAAATTTGAAGAGTACCACAAAACTATTAGCTATTAAATGAAGCTGAATAGAATATGCTTTTTCTTGTTTATGCCAATCACATTTTTTTATTTAGTGCATAAACTACCTAATCTATAGTAYGAGTCAACATTCAACATTTCAATATTTGAATTTTTCCTTGTCATATGCTCTTTAATAAGACATATAATACATGAATTTGTCATTAAATACTACTCAGTAATAGAGCTGGTAACTTTGGCTGTAAGTGCTTTTCACTAAGTTTTTAATTTTTTACTAACCGAGTTTCACTTCACTGGTTAGGATATTTAAAATAACTACATCTGAAGAATATGATAAATAATAGAGAGATAAAGAACTTCAGAACAGTTAGCAAAAAACAAATAACCATTTAAACACATTTCTAAATGAATTTAGAGCTACTGAAATAAATAAATTTATTTTGTCAGATGTGATGAGTCTTASTCAGGTCAAAGTCAGGTTAAGATTCTTGTGTAATTGAAGATGGAGAATATGATATTAAAACTTAGTGACGTTAGTAATGCAAAGTTGTTTTCTCCATCTACGAAACCACATCGGTAGCATTCGGAAGTTCTGGAAAAAAATATACACCTAAAATGTTTTCCCCCCTCTCCCCAAATAGCAGTACATAACAAAGGTTATTTGTTGAATAATCTCAAGCATACCTGCACATTGGGCAACCCAGTGCATGCTCCAGTGCATGCTCTCTCGTTTGCAATTTCTCATCCTTTGTCATCTTTGCAGCAAAACGGATTTTTCCTTTTTTTTTTTTGCTTTTTGGTGTGATGACATTGCCATCTTTTTGCAGATCTGGAATGTCCATAGTGTTTTGAATGTCTTGTATTCGCTGGTTGGCAAGTCTCAAATCAATGAACAGGTAGACTAAATATCTTAATGAAAAAGTCAAAAGTCTTGTAATACACAGCTTGCAATATAACTTCTGCATTATTTTCTTTGTTGTGAAATTGCCTTTTTGTTTGCTATCTGGTATACAACACCCTTTTAAGTTTCAAAAACAACTCATAAATATTTCATTTCACTTGAAACCATGTTTTACTTCTGGAGCACAGACATCTTGCAAATTTATGCAAGCATTCCTTCAATTGATAACCTTTATAATTTCTGCTAATTCTCTTCACCCACACACAGTATAGTTTAAAAGAATCTATTTTATTCCTTGAAGAAATGAAAGGTCTATCTATGACTGTCATTTAAATTATGATGGTTAGTAATAATTGATGTTTTAATTTGATGAATCTTTAAATTTTTCTTTTAATTATTAGCTTCATGTGTACAATTCTGGTGGTGACCCAGACGCTGTTGCTGGTGAATTTGGAATCCACTCTCTGTACAAAATGTTGGGTTACTTCAGTCTCATTGGCCTYCTTAGACTTCACTCTCTTTTGGGTGACTATTTCCAGGCCATCAAAGTGCTGTCAAATGTAGAACTGAATAAGAAGAGTCTGTATTCCCGAATTCCTGCTTGTCAAATTACTACATACTACTATGTTGGGTTTGCTTATCTCATGATGAAACGCTATCAGGTCTGTATGTACCTTTGTTTCTTTCTACCTTGATAAGTGATCAGAATTTTCATTAATATTGTATTTGCTGAAATGTTCATTCAGTGATTGCCAATATATCTCAACATTTTTTATGTTATAAGTCCCTACCTGGGGGTTATTGGAGGAACATTTAGCCATTTACTTTGAAGAAACAAGGGTATCATTAATTTACTTTTAAGGCTTGGCCTTCCTGTGGTGGATGATGGCAATTGTGTCTTTCAACRACGCTCTGTCACTTTTTGAAATTTTGGTTCTTTTTTGTTTTAGTCTGTCTTGGTTAGATTCTTCTTCTTGCACATCTGTCATGAGTTTATTTCTGCCACAAAAATTTGTTGTTGTTGTTAACATGCCTATAGAGGCTTTGCATGGTCACGTGACAAACATAAATTTTGCATTAATTTAATAAAAATATGTTGAAAATCTTATGGTCTGAAAGAGAAGGCAAATTGAAAAATTCAAAACWWTTTWGAGTTTAAAATGTTTAATTTGAAAGAGTTGATTATATATCCAAATAATTAATGACTTTCATTTGCATATATCTAATCATTTTCTCAAATTTTGAGATCAGAGCAGAATACCAGTGAATACAT